TAGTTACATGGAGATAGGCTTTCTTGGAACTCACATTCTGCTAATGGTCTCAGCAGTTATTTTTGTACATCTGAGAGGCAGTAATGAGGAAATGTGCAAACTGAACCTGAAGTAATTAAGCAGCTTTTGGTTTTTAGGATTTAAATAAGGTTTTCAGGAAGTCTATACATAGAGGTTCAAGAAGGCATAAATATAGCATGTATGATATGTGAGCTTTTCTTTATATGTAATGTGATGTATAAATATAATATATAATTTTCCTTCTATACATAATGTAACTGGATATTCATTACTATCCATTCTTTACTGTCTGTAAAAAAAGTCAGATATTTAATCTCCTTAATTGTGAAATTTCACTCTTTATATATTTATCTGTAAAATGTAACTGGATATTCCATTACATTATTATAGTATATTGTAAATGTAATAGATCATTTTCTCTCTATACAGAATAATGTAACTGGTCTCCAGTTACAGTTACATTATATATATGAAGAGTGAAATTTCACAGTTAAGGAGTAGATTACATATTTGACTTTGTTTTTTAACACAGTGAAGACTCTAGCTTGGTTCAAATGGATCATATCCCAGCCAGCATCCTAATATTCCAATTACATCTTGATATTTGCTCTGAATCTGCACATCACCTCTTCTGCAGTGAGATTCTTCTTAGTCTGGTCCTAGAACCCAATTTGAAGGTGTATACTCCCTTGAGTCTGAACTTTCCAGTTTCTGTTTCGTTAGGAGAAATTGATCTTCTTCAAAAGGTTGTTTTAGGTTGGAATATTACTTTTAGGTATTTGAGAATGTAGCTTTTTAGGCTGTACATTAACAAGATAGACTGTCATTGTATTAAAAATCCTACCTAACACTTTTTCTTGTTTATTTAAAAATTAGATTGAATAACTGTTTCCTCCTTTTTTTCTTTTAAGTAGGTTAAAAGATTCCTGAGGGCTGAGTTACTCTCTTCTAGAGCTGAATAAAAATAGAACTAAATTTAACAATTTAGGGAGTCAGTGTTTCTTAGTTGCAAATGTATAATTTCTAAAACCTCAAAGGGGTTGAGTTTTATGAACACATATTAGGTTGAGTGTTCAGTTCTTTATTTTTTTGAGATGTAAACTATTACTGTCATTTGAGGAATCTCTGTTAGTGTCACCTGTACTTCAAAAACAAGATAAAATGCTAAAAAGATGGCAAGATATCAAACTATGGCTATGCGCTAAAAACCTAACAATAGAAAAATGAGTTAATTGTGATGTCAACCCAAGTGAGAAGGCCATTACCCCTAAAAGAGGCATCAGTGAGGTATCGATCTAGAACTCAGTTCATACTTACAATTAAAAGGATATATTAAAAGATTTCTGATATTATCTATGAGGAGTTTTGACCCAAAGAAGAAAAACATAAAATAGTATGAACTCTAATTTGTATAATTAATGTTATCATCTCCCCAAATGATATCTTTTTATAATTATAAATAATGCTGTAGATTATTGGGAGGAGCGTGGTATTCAAAGGGAAGATATTTTTTCCTGACATCTCTGGAATGTTTTTTGGCAGCCTCACATCTCAGCTGTATATCCTTCAAGTGACCAAGTTGTATCCAGTTTCATATACGGCTTGTAAAGTTGCCAGTCAGTTTTTAAGCCAGACTTCTTGTTCTGCATTTTATATAAGTGTGGTTAATCCTCAGTTTTTACTTTTGTAGGGTGAATAAAACAATTCAAATTTACTAATGCGTTTCCTCTAAGAAGTGTAATTAGCAGTTTTTAAGCTTTAAAAATTCCATTAATAGAGATCAAATGCTATGACATTCCTGAATTTTCAGCGACCATAAATTAGGCTGAATCATAGTTACTGCTTGAATAGTCTCTGGCTCATCTCTGGCATAAGTATAATATAAGCTTTGAAGATAAATTTAGTTTTCCTGTAATATTAAATAAATTGATTTATCTTAATTAAACAACCCCTAAATTTAATAGCCAAAAAAACTCATCCTTTGGCTTCTTGCTTACAGTTGTAGGTAACTATTGTTAATCCAATGGCTAGTTTGTGATGAAGTGCTCCTACTGTATGCTTGCCTTGCTTCCACCTAGAATCTAGGGCCATTACTTTCTGTAACCATTTCAGTGAGCTGCCATAGTTTTCAGTCTGTACTGTCACCTGATCCAAGCATGCGCCAAAATACCCACTGTTTCTGGCTCCTGTCTGCTGAATCTGCTTCGCAAAACCCTTCGTTCTTTGAGCTTTTGCTTTAGCCAAAAACCAAATTTAAGAAATTCTTTGGAGTGTGGACATATGCCATTTGCTTCCTTAGCCCCCCTGTGATGTTAACTCTTGAGCTTTTATCAAACTTGTAAATACTTTGTTAAACACAACAGTGGCTTCCCCATGTGCAACTGTGTGGCTCATGTGTCAAAATAAAGGCTGCTTGTGAACTTGTCAGAAGAATATGAATGCTCCACTCGGCGCTGCATTCAGCTGTTTGTTTTGTTTCTTTTTTTAAATCAGCCACTTATTCTTTCATAGTGTTTGGTTTAATTATCTGATTATTTTATGTGTTATACCAAGGTAAGTTTGATGTAAATAAACTTTGTATTCTTTGTGGTTACATGTATCTCATAGTAATTTTTATTACATACTTTTCCATTTAGGCATGCTGACCTTTCTAAATAAATAGCTCTTGAACTTAATATCAGTAGCTTCCTCTGTTTTTCATTAATTAAAAAAAATACTGCAGACTACTTCCTGTAAAATTCATTTTTAAAACAAAAAAGCTATCATGGGTTGCTCATAGTAAGATGTAGGCAAACCTAATATGAGAAGATCTATTTTTATAAAAATGTAGTATACAATTATGTGGCTTAGCAAACAATATTTTAAACTTCTGGAATGGTTTAAAAAATAAATAGCAGGTTCTATTACAGTTAAGAAAAGTTAGACTTTTTATTTTACGTAGCTTTTCAGGAAGTATATTTCTCTTATTATTTGTGGTATCTATTTTCAGAGAATCATAAATAATTTGATGGACTGAGCAACTACTTGAATAATAGTTTGTCCTGTGATACAGAAATTCCCTATTAGGAAAGGATGATGTTAATTCGATGTCCAAATTGGTCTGGAAACATGTATGTCTTAAAAAGAGAGAATGGATTTGAAAGTGTATTTGTGCTGTTAATGTCTACATTTCAGTTAGAATTATAAAGAAATTCTCTAACGTAATGGTGTATGTGCAAAATAAGACCACCGAATTCCCTCACACATCTCAATTCATAATATTGATGTTAATACCCTATTGTAATATGTCCTATTTCTTTCCTTTCTTTATTTTATCTCGTACTGTGATCTTTTCTCCAGTTTCCTGGAGTTTGCATTGCTTTCTTTTCTTCTGAAAGGAAGTCTTAAGGTAGCTCTGTTTGGATCCAGAACTTTAAATCAGGAACTGCTGGCCTCATTTGTCAGTCCTGGCTTTTATCTCCTCATTTCTCCCTTTTGCTGGTTTCCTCCCCGTGGAGGAAACAAAATCACATCCTAGGAATGTGAGCTATAACAAGCCTTTTAACCTTTCGTACCTTGCTGTCTTCAGTATTTTACTAGTGAGTATGATTCTACTTGTTTTCCTTATTTTTAAAAAAACATGTTTGAAACCTGCCTGTGTCCTGAGATTCAAAAAAAGGAGGCTTTTGGGTTGTTTGGTTTTCAGTTTTAATAGTGCCTTTTACGTGGAAAATTTACGACAGGAGCTTAGCATCTTGTTTAGAGTTGATGAAGATTTTTCTGTTTCAAATTGTTCCCAAACGGAATTGGCCACAAAAAGAAACAAATTCGAATATGCTGATTATAGACTGTTTCCGTTTTTAACATCTTTGCACATAAAAAGTTACTGTACATGCAGCTGCTGCTCACCAGTAGTTTGCAGCTAAATGCAAGTGATTAGGAAGTATGTGTGACAGATGTTCCATTTATGATGCTCCGTTCCAAGCAGTATTGGGCTTCTCTGCGATTGTAAAGTGCAGTTCTGTGATCCAAAGGCACTTTCTTAATGACAGAGCCATATATGGAGTTA